GGGGGGGGGGGTACGTGTGCACAGCCACGTGCACGAACACTCGTGTCAGTGTCAGCTCCCCACTGGCCAGCACGTGTCCTGGGGGCCTGGGTGGCCGTCTCCCTCCGGCCTGGCCATCACGCCAGCAGGGAGGGAACCATCAGACTGGGGATGCCGTTCCTCCCGGGGGGTGAGGAGCTGGGGTGAATGAATATTCAGCAAGGGGGATGCAGCCCCGTGCACGCATGGCTGGGCTTGGGGAGGCACTGGCCAGGCCAGGGCCCCGGACTCGGGGTTAGCACGGACTCCCCACGGACCCCCACGAATCCGACTGAGTAAGCAGGGTGAGTCCCTTCTCCCAGATCTGGGACCTGGGACGGTTCTTCAGCGCTTGGCACTTGAATGCCACACAGCCACGCCCTCTAAACCCCACTCCTGCCTCAGGGTTTTGATATCTGCTAAGCCAAAGTCAGGCAAAGCTGACTTTGGAGGAGAAAAGTCAGGTGTTCCCCCCCCCACACCATCCAACAGGGATCAAACAGGTAAACACGGCCTCCAACAATCTCCCCAATGCCCCCTCTCCCCCTGGATAAACCTTTGAGAAATTCCCGGACAAAAAGGATCGGGCCTCCCTTGCTTTCCTCTCTCACTCCCCCGCCCCTAGCCCATCCTCAGGTCCATTTATCAAACATATACGCACAAACTGCTGCCGATAAATATTTAATGTGTGCGGCATCTGAAAAGAGGTATTGTTTTATTTGAAAATCTACACACACTTGCGGGCACCCGGGCACACGCACCTACACACGATGGTGCAGGATGCCTCGGGGCCAGAGACCGACTGGGCAAAAGGCACAGTAAAGGCCGTAAGCTCTCGTGAAATGATCTAAGCTAAATCTGTGGAGTTAACCCGCAGCCCTGCCGGCATGACCAGGCATCTGCCAGCCCAATTTCTGGAGGCAGGACGGTGTGTAAATGCGGCATTATGAAGCCTCAAAATGAATCTGCACGTCTCCTCGGCACTCTCCCCGGCAGCTCCGCTCCCTCTCCTGGCGCCTCTCTGAGCAGGCCACAGGAAACTGGGCTGCTGGCGCCACGGCCAGCCTCCCGGGAGGGGAGGGGCTGCAGAGGATGGGCAGTGGAGGCCTGTCAGTCAATCCAGCCCCCGGCTGAGGCTGGTGGCCCACCTGGAGCGGCCCAGAGGCTGGGCAGGTGGGGACTAACACGGAGGTGAGGTGGGAGAACCCAGCGGAGTGCTGCCCACAAACCCTGCTTTATTCTGCCACCTAAAGGCCGACACGCCCCACGACAGACACGCTGCCTCTTTTTCCAGCGAAGCCCCGCAGCCTCTGCCAAGGCTGGCCTTGGACACGGAGGGCAGGGGACGCACATATTTTCTTGCAGGCTCCTTTGGGTAAACATAAATGGCGCTTTGGCACCAAGTTCTTCAGAGAGTCACGGGGACTGTGGGGACAGTGCATCTCACAGATTCAGACCTGGTCTCAGGAGGCTGAAGGGCACAGGGGGGCCTTGTCGAGCACCCGCTGTGTGTCTGGGTCATGCTGGGTGCTGGACAGACATGGCCACAGACAACCTATGGGGTGTGCCGGTCTCTCCGCCTGACTCTCCACCCCTGGCCCAGCCTCCAGGCTCTCGGGCCTCGGCTTCCGTGAGCAGCCCTGGCTGACCTGCTCTGGGTGGGGATGGATGTGCCCCCAGCAGTCAGGGCCCACTGTGCTTCAGGGCGCTGCGGTGTGGACGCCTGGGTAACGCTCTGCCTTCCCCTGGGGCTGGAATTCAGCTCCGAGAGAGTGGGAACCACATCTATCTTGCCCATCACGGGATCCGCAGCAAGGTGCCCCAGGCCTGGCTCAGAGTGGACACCTGGAGGTACTTTTGGAACGAAGAAACAGCAGCCCTGGAAGGGGAACACGACCATTGGGATATCGCACCTACGCTCAGAGGGTGGTGATGAGGATTCCACGAACCAGGCCACGGGGTACATACGAAGAGCACAAGTGTTAATTATTATTGGTCTCACCGCCCCCATTTTCAGATGAGGAAACTGAGGCTCAGGGAGGTAGCGGTTCTTGTGAGTAGGTGGCAGGGCCAGAGTGTGAACCTGGGAGTGTCTGATGCGAAGCCGGAGGAGCTCTCTGTGCTGCGTGATGTCTCACCCGCTTCAGTTATCTGGAGGGGACCAGCCACTTTCCGGAGCGGGGCTTTCATCCTGAGGCTTGGCCCTGTCTGGCATGAGGAAGGAAGGCCGTGTACGGGGACGGCGAGGATTGCGCTGTGCAGGCTCCGAGGGGTCCAGTGACTTGCCCGAGATCCCAGGGCAAGGGAGGCCGACTCAGACCCAGTCCTTCCTGCCTGCACTGGGTGCAAACCCCCTGCCTCTGCCCACAGGGGCTCTAACTTCCCGTCCCTTGATGCTGCCCAGTTCTTCTTAGCCGTGGCTCATTTCTGGGGACCTCACCTGTATGTGTACGCAAGAGAGACCGAGAGAGGGAGAGACTGGTGAGGTTAATTCCTCCCTCTCTGCAGCACACTGCAAGCTGTGGACGCTCTATGCATGGTAAGCAGCTGAGGGTCCGGAGAAAGGCGAGGAAAATAATTAAAAGGTGGAGCAAAAAAGCTGATGAGAGAAGCTAAAGGAGCCATGCTTACATGGCCTGGAGAAGTGGCATTTGGGAGCTTGGCAGGGAAAGGCCGGGACGGAGGGGCATCCTCGATCCACGAGGGAGTGAGGGTGGGGACCAGGGAGCTGGGGGGCCGTGGGGGAGGTCACCGCCCGTCTGGGGTGTCCAGACAGACATCTGCATGGCCAAGGAAATGCTGTGTCCCAAGACCCCAGGAGCTTAAAAAATCCCACCATTCCTCACGACACGAGAGAGCGAGGGCTTCCAGAGCAGCTGGAAGATTAGGGTTAGATCTTAGAAAGAAATTCCCGATTCCCGTGAAGCCCTGGAATGAATGGCTGGAGCTTCAAGACCGTCACTGCGGCTGTCACCCCAGTGGCCAATGACAGAGTGCCTGTGGCGTGCTAGGCCTTTTAAATATACCGTTTCTAGGTACAACAATTGCGGGGTAAGAGTCACTGCCTCCTGTTTTTACAGATGAGAAAACCAAGGGCTGAAGAGGCCAAGTGACCTGCCCAAGCCCCACGGCCCGGGACTCGAAACTCAGGCGAGCTTTCCCTCCCGGCTCAGGAAGGATGGCTTCGGTTGCTTGTGTAACTACCGCGTGGGAGAAAATAAAGCCGATACTAATGATCTCAGAGAGATACCAAAAGAGAACTGAAAAGAAAAAAAAAAGTTGGGGCGGGGGAATCGATGAACTACCTTTAGCTCCTTGGAGATAAGCAATATATAAATACCAGCCATTATTAAAGTGCTCATCTGACAGCAAAGCCCACGGAGCCATTTTTAAGAGCGGCTTTTGCAGGAAGTTCTGTGCGTCTCCTGGGAGAAGAGGCCTGGGCGTGGCTGGGCAGGGCCGCCAGGGACCGAGAGGGAGGAAGATGACAGGGCACCCAGGAACCAACCCCCGCCAGCCCAGACTCTACCACTTGGGAAGGAGACACGGATGCTCCCCACTGTGTAGATAATAGAAACCACAAAATAGCAATTACTGTATCAGAAGCTGTGAATAAAGAGGACATACGGGGCTTTTAAACATGGCCCTCCTTCCCTCCCCCACTATGCTCACACTTCAGTAACAAACTCACACCTCACTTTTCCAATTATTTCATTCACCTCGGGTTCACCAATTACTCCCCCACGCCGCAGCCCCGCCCCGCTCTGCCGCGCCAGGAGCACGTGACTGGTGGGGATCCGTGGGTGTTTGACAACTGGAGTTTGTTGTCACATTTTTAATTTCTTTCGACAGCGGGGGT